ATTAAGACAGTGGTTCATTGCAATAATTATATTGTGATTATTTTTGGATAATATGCTTTTTCCGAAAAATTTTAATTTATTTATGAAATCAGTAATGTCACTAATTAAATTCTCATTAATATTTATATTATAAGATAAATTAAAATTTTTGAATTGTTTTCTCCTAAGTGATTTAAGATCTTCAATGATATCATTTGATAAATAAAATAATTTTAGTCCATATGAAGTTAAAGAATCTTGAGCATATTTTGGTTCACGTTTAGGAGGGTTGGATCTAAAATAATATGAACGTTTTTTGAGTCGACTATAATCTTTATTTAATTTAATTAAATTGTTAGCTACTGAAATATTTTCAGATGAAATATTCATTAAATTCTCTTTATTGAATTCTTTTAATTCGTTTTGTAAATACATGAACTGCTCTGTAGGTTCAATTTGGCATGCCTCATGCTCATAAATTAGAGTGTTTTCGTCGAAAATACTGGTCATAATTAATGCTTTTGATTAACTAATGATTAAAAAACATTTAGAGATTGTTTAAAAAGGAAATTTAAATAAATACTAGAGGTGAACTTTAAAAGATTAGCGTCGAACTTTAAAGTTGAAATTATGAGATATGAGGTAATAAAAAATAAATGATATTTAAAACAATATTTATAATGACCTAAAAATAGAATATATTCTATAAATAAAATATCAAATAAATGTTATATAAAACAACTTAATAAAATTTACTTTTAATGCTTAATATGATGATATCACACTATCGTCAAATTGTACCATAAAAAAATTATTATAAAAAGAAAAAAATTAAAATTAATTTCTAATTTAAGAAAATTGAAAAAATAATAAATAAAAAGTAGATAATTAAGTATTAATAGAATTTGTGTCTATTGTTCCTGCCTCAGGGGAGACTAATCCCGTCCCTGAGTCTTCTTCGTGCAGTTCAACAACATATGTTTGGTTGTGGTAGAAACAGTGTTCAATGACATCCATCATGTTTTTAATGGTCACGAAATTGTGCATTTTATTCGTACTCATCATTACATTATTATAATGATTTGTGATGTTGTTAATTATTTCATAATTGTTGTCTAAATGTAATGATTGTCTTCACTGTTTGTTTAAAACATGGTGTTTATGATTGTTAGATCATTGAAATGAATTATCATAATGCAAATTAATTCTTGTTAAATGTTTAAAAGGTAAAAAATAGTAGATAATATTATTAGATGAAAATATTTGTGATTAAATATGAGAATAACATATTTGTATATTATTAGTTATATCTTTCTACTTCGATTTCTGTATTAAATGAATATATCTGTTGATGAAATAAAATAAAATAAATATAAAATGATAAATGATAAAAGAAAGAATAAAGAAAATAATAGAAAATAAATATAATGATTAATGATAAAATTAATGAGTTATTATCATGAATGAAAGTTGAAGATGAATATTAAATTCATTAATATTAATTATAAATGTTTAATTTATAATTAATATTAAATATTCATTCTTCATTCTGTATTATTGTGTTGATGTTTAAATTATTCAATTTGTTATTATCATATCATCATTTCATTGAAACTTGTTTTTTATTATCTTTTTATTTGTTTCATCATTTATCTCTTGTTTGATATGATAATATAAATAATTTACATTGTATATTATCATCATTCATCATTGATAATCATCTGTGATATAATTTAATTTTCATATCAATAAATATATCATTTAAATAAATAAATAATAACATCTGTTAACATATCATTATGATATCTCATCAATGTGATAAATGAAATGGAACATATTTACACATTAATAACAATACGATGGATATTCATATTTATATAATCATTGTTATTTATAACTAACATTATAAATTTAAATTAACATAGTGCTCTTCTTTATTACATTTCATAATGATATTTTCACATTAAAATAGAATTGATGGTAAATGAAATGAAATAAAGAATAATATAAAATGAAAACATTTATGAATGAATATACTCAACAAATCAAGATACATCATACTCAATACAATAAGATATTACAAAATGTCAACTGATTGATATAGAATTATTATTTTACCTACTTTTTATTTTATTTTATTTTTTATATTTTAAGAGAAAATAATAGAAAACAGAATATTCCATTATGCAAAAAATATATTACACTATTTTCAATTGAGCAATTTATTTAGATGCATAATTTCTTCGCTTATTTTGGTTCCCCTTTCATTTTATAATCTCAACATTCTACTTTTATTCTTTTCATCTTCTTCTACTTCTTACTTTTTCTTTTATACAGTTCTTTCTCTTCATTTTTCTCTTATTTCCCTTTTTCGTCGCTGTTTTATTTTATATTAATGTTAATTATTAAAATAATGAACATTTATTAGTGATTATTTTATAATTTATTACTTTTATTGGATATCTCGTTTATTATTTATTCATTATTTCTTGTATTATTAAATTCATTTGTAATGATTATTTATCATTTCATTTATGTTATGGATGTATGTAATTTACACCAATAAATTAAGTGTAGTTTAAACTTTTTGTGATTATTTATTGTTTAATATTTTAATCATTATATATTATTATATATCAAATTATGATGATGAGACTAAACCATAAATAATGATAATTTCATTTTATTAATCATAATATAAAATGATTAAAATCAATTAGAAATTAAAAATAAATGAAATAATTTGATTTTATAAGAATGAGTTATTTTATTTTATGAAATAAACTTGAAAAAATAAATTTGTCAATGAGGTAAATAATAATAATTAAAATTAATTGCATCTTTCTTTAATTATTATTAATTATTAATTAAAATAATTAAAGTCATCATAGTTATTCATGATTTCTATAAAATATTATCATAAATAATCTCATTATTTAATGATAACTTTTTCATCATTGATTTCACGAATAAAATTTATTACATTGATTCAAGTAAATGACCTAATGTTCTAACAAACAACTCATTCTAAAGTACAATTTAACCAACTACAATAATACAATGATAAACTTAATATCTTCAAATACTATTTTTAATTTCTTTTGTAATATTTATTTTCAAATTAGAACTAAAAGTTGATGAATAAAACCAATAACACTTAAGAATTGATAATCCTTCATAAACAAAATGGTAGAAATGACTATAAATAGTAAAATGTTATTAAAAACAAAATAAAACAGATTATTTTTTAAAGAATATTTTTATAATTTTTTTATGAACTAGAAAAAAGAATAGAATGAATAAAGTCCAAACAACATTTAATATAGAAGGAGTTAATGTTGGTTTGAGAGAAATGTTTAGAAGAGTGATTTATTCAAGGAATTTTGAAGAATTAGAAACATTTAATGAACAGATTCAATTAATAAAACAATATTGTCCAGTAGCAAAGAATGAAGAAATAGCAATTGTAATGAAATGTACATTAAGAGATGTAGAAAGAATAATTAATCCAGAGAACAAAGAAATTGATATTTCAAATACAGATACAATTACAACGGAAGATACCATACCATCACTCAAAACAAATGAAGAAGCAATTAAAGATATTCAACGATTATCGAAAGAAATTATTGGAAAAGGAATTGCGTTTACAGAAAATTCAATACAGTGTTATGTTGAAGATTATTGTGAAGGAGTGAATTTAACATTTAATGAATTAAATTTAAATCAAAGAAAAGTAAAAATATCAAAAATATTAAATCAACCAAGTGAAAATGAAATTAAAGGATTTTACCATTTATTAAAAGAAAAAGTAGAAGGAATTTCACCACATTTTATATTTAATGTGGATGAATTTGGATTTCAATTAAAAACATTTGAAGATAACGTTTTTGTAAGAACAAACGACCGTCCAAAAAAATTACAAATTGAAAGAAATAGTAAAATGTCTCAGTTGCTGTGTTGTATTTGTGGTGATGGAAGTTCTTTTCCTCTTTATTGTGTTGTTAATAATGAAAACCAAAAAAAAGAAATAACAAAAAATATATCAAAAAAAATTAATATTGTTTTTAGTGAAGAAACTACTTGTGCAATTAGTTTATTTGTTTTTGAAGGTTGGTTAAATACGTTTATTAAATTTATTAATAACCAACGTAAAAAATATCACTGTGAACATCAAATTGTTATTTTATTAATTCCAGAATACTATAAAGAGTATTTAAAAGGATTTTCTTATCTTTTAAAAGAAAATGTTATTCAAATCATTTTTATTCCAAAAAATAGTGAAAGAGAAGTTCAACCATTAAATGAATTATTTGAATCAATGATTCATAAAATAAATAATTTTAATAAAATAGATAAATTAAAAATAACAAATGAAAGTAAAGAACTTATTAAATTAATAAATAATTGGAAAATAGAATCTGTTGAAGGAAATGTTATTGATGCTTTTAAAAATAAAGGGTTATTATTTACTATTATTGGAGAAAAGTCAATGTGTTGTATTGAGTCTACTTATTTAACTGAAGAGTCTCATTTATTAAATGACTTTCAAAAACCAAGAAAAAGTAGTGAATTAAAATCAAAAAAATCTTCTCAAACTTTAGACTCTTTATGGTTAGATGGTGATTCTTCTTTAAATGAAATAAGTATATCTATAATTCCAAAAATATCTGAACCTTATAAAGTTTGTATTCTTTTATTTATCATTTCAATTTCTTTTATTTTTACTAGAAAAACACAGACTTTTACATACAAATGAAATTAACCTCATTTTAGAGACCTTTTGATAATAATTAAAACTATTTTTTGTTTTTTGTTATATAAAACATATTAATTAAAAAAAGAAAAAAAAAAAAAGAAAACAGAAAGTTAAGAGAACCCGAAAAACAAAACTTAAAAAGATAAAAGATTGGTATTATGAGAAACCAACCACAAGAAAAGAAAGAAGTCGACCAATTATTCTCCTCACTAAATCCATTTTTTGATATAATATTTAAAGGAAAAGGAATTAGTTTAGGAGAATTAAATAAATACTATTGTTTAGTATATAGTTGTTTTGAGGATATTTCATATGCAGGAGACTATGGACTAGAAAAACTTGAAGAAGTATTAAATGAGTACTTGGCAAATAAAACTGGAGAGTTAAGTCAAAAAGAAAAAAGAAAAATACCAAAACAATTACAAAATATTTTTGAACAATGGAAAAATATAAGAAAAAATATTTTATTTGTCTTTGGTACATTAGATTTTTGTCCACACCAAAAAGTTAATGGAACAGTTAAATCAGTACTAAAACATTCATTTAAACATGTATTCTTTAAATATTTAATAAAAAAAATAAATTTATTTAATATATTAATTAATATAATATCAGAAAGTAGATTTAATAAAGAATTAACAATAGAAGAATATGAATCAATTCTTTCAATTCTTCAATTTCATTTTGATGAACAACTATCATTTTACATTCAATCATTTCAAAAACAATTTGAAGAACAAACAATGACAGATTATAATAAATTTACTAATAAAATAAAAACATTACCAATTCATGAATGTTTAACTTTATTAGAAAAGTTCATTGAAAATGAAAACGATTTAATTAAAATAGCATTACTTCCAAATATGCAACAACCAATAAAAGAAATGTTAAATAAAGAAGTGTTATTAAAAATAACAAGAAAAGCATTAACAGTATTCCCAGAACTTCTTATTAAAAAAGAAAAAGAAGACATTCAAATTATTAGTTTATTATGGAATAAAACAAAAGAAAATAACGAATTTCTTAATCCAATTGATGAATATTTTCAATTAAAATTTCATAAAGAACTAGAAGAAGAAAGTAAAAAAGAAGGATTTAATAAGAATATAAAACAAATAGTTTATTTCTTATTTAAATTTAAAAATTTAACAGAAGAATTAAAAAAAGAATATTTTAAAGGAAATATTATTTTTGGTGAATGTGTTGGTAATTCATTTAAATCTTGTTTAGTTAAAAATAAAATTACTGATGAAGGTGATGAAAAACAAACAGAAGTTCTTTTAGCTACTTTTATTCATAGTACTATGACAAGTAATAAATCAGAAGAAGATACAATGAAAGAATTAACAAATGTCTTAGATATTGTTTCTTATTTAACCAATAAAGAATCATTTATTATATTACACCAAAAATTTTTATTAAAAAGAATTATTCAAAATACTATAAAATCTATTACATTAGAGTCTTCAGTTGTTGATGATATTTGTAAAAATTTCTCTTGTTCTGCTTCTTTTAAGTTAAAACAAATCATTAAAGACTACACTTTATCTTTAGAAATTACTAAAGAATTTTGTAATAAAAATCAAATTCCTTTAAAATTAAATATTATTGTTTTCTCTAAATTTTTATTTAACGCTCATGATATTTATTGTTCAATTCAAATGGACCCTTCTCTTCAAAAAATTTGGAATTTATTTGTCACTTCTTATAAAACTATTCATACTGATAGAAAATTAGAATTAAATCAATTATGTTGTTCTGTTATTCTTTCTTATTATAATGGAATAAAAGGATGTAAATTAGAAATTAGTTATATTCAGTATTGTATTTTAATGAAATTACATGACAATGGAAAATTAACTATTAACGAACTACAAAAATCTATAGCTCCTTCATTAGATTCTTTTAAGTTCCATTTAAATTCTTTAATCAATTCTAATATTTTATCTAGTTCAAATGGCTTTGAAGGAAATAGTTTGATTTGGTTTACTAATAACTCTATTACTGATGGTTTCTTATTAAATAAAATTGATAAGAAATTAGTAGATAACCAAAATAAAAATAAAGGAATAACTAAAGAAAATGAATCAAAAAAATTTACTGCTGTCATTTGTTATCAAGTTAAATTAATGAAACAAAGAAAAGACCTTAGCTATAATGACCTTATTAAATGCACTATTTCTCAATTAAATTCTTCATTTAATATTGACACAAAATTAGCTAAACAAGGTGTTGAATATCTCATTGAAAAAGAATATATTTTAAGAGATGAACAAGACAATGGGTTGTTCCATTATATTGCTTAAATATACCTTATGGCTTTTCTCTTTAAAAAAACTTAACAAAATGATGTTTATTATTTTTTCCTTTTCAAGTTTTTTTATAATTAATTTATTAATAATTTATAATCAATTATTCACTTTTATACTTTTTTATTCTTTTATCTGTATTTATTATTCTCATTTAACAATTCAAAATGCAAAATTATTACGAATTCTTTGTTCAAATCCAATCACAACTTAAAGACATATTGATCATCCCTCATTTCTCACAAAATAAATTAATTCTTGTTGATGTCATCTCTTCCAATAAAATTGGACAAATTCAAATAAATGGTAATTGTTCTATTTTATGTGTTGACGGTAATAAATCAGATAGTTTTGACAATGAACTAATTGGTCAGAAAATTTTTGAATTCTTCTCTCAGCCAATACCCGTTAAGTGTTCAATACTTGATCAGCCACTAAGTGTAATAGATCAAGGTGCAAATTATTCACAAAATCATCAAGGACCAATCTCAGAGATACAACCAACTCTACAAAGAAAAACATACTCAACAATACCTGAAAGGTACCAACTACCACCACAACCAAATTTTTTATCTCCATTATCACTACAAACAAAATTATCTCAAGTAAGTCAGAACACGAGTCAAATGAATGTCTCACAAGGTTCCGGACAAGGAACATTCCCCCCAACTCGTAAAGTAGTGAAACTAGATCAAATTGAAAAACCAAGTACGAACAATCACATTACAGAAGCAAAAAGTAACAAAAGACAAAAAAATGAGTATGTCAAAAGTAAAACAGGTCAATGATACAGAACTTAAAACATCTACAACTAAAAGACATAAAGAAAAAGTTAGTAATGTCGATCCATCTCCACCAAGTCATAGAATTGATAACTCTAATCAGCTGCCTGTTGATGACAAATGTAGGTGGAGTCCAATAAAACCGGAAAGTAAAAAAACATCTCCTCAAAAAATTGAACATAAAGAAAAAAAGGATCAAAAAGAAAAACGTGATGCAAAAGAACAAACAGAAGGCTCAAAATTTAAAGTTTTAAAAAAGAGATGAATGTTGTTGTTTAGAAGAATATAATTAAAACTAAGTATGACTTAAGATGTGTTAAAGGTTTAAAAAAATTCCTTTTATTTGTTATTTAGTAATTTATTTTTTTGTAAATCTATTTTCAACACATGCAACAAATTTTATTTTCTTTGGTAATGAGTAAGTTTTTGAGTTTTGTAAAGAAAACTAAACAAGAAATAAATATTTAAGAAAATATAGAAAGATAAATATCAATACCAATAAAAGAATAATAAAAATAGGATATGAATTTACCAATTATAAAGTGATTAAAAAGAGAAGTATGAAAGGAAAATGATAAATAAATGATGAAAGTAAAATAACTGAATGGGAAAGTAGAGATGATAGTTAAATAACAGGTAATGATGTTATCATCTAAAATCAATGAGGTAATCATGATAAGATGAAGAAAGAGAAGAAGAAAGAAATAAATCAAATACTATAACAAAAAATTCAAATAACAATAAGAACAAGAAAACAATTATGAATTACTTATGACTAGGTTTTCATCATGTTGAGAAGTGAATAAATTGGTTTATTCAACATGTCTTATTATTGTTGAAATAATGTTTTTTTTTAAACGTGCTTGAATTAATTACTTCACCATTTAGTTTTTTATCTGATTTTAATTTGAGTTAGATAAGTGTTTAAACTCTTCATTGTTTATAATGTTATTTTATGATGGATATGTCAATAACATATGATTATTGGTGTATCTCTTTTATCATCTACAATCACTTAGAAAACCCTTTTTCTTAATAACACACCATTACTCAACTTAGAACCATCACTAATAAATGTACTTACATTTGATAAATAGGAATAATATCCTCATAATAAATAATCTTATATCTAATAAATAATATACTCAATAATAAATAATAATCAATTAGTCTTGAGTGTGACATTATCTAACCAATGTCACGTCATGACTAGAAGGTAACTGGTGATTCGAGGATTGGGCATATTAGGGTTCCATATAGTGTCTCTGATGTGCTACTTTCGAACCCTCAATAAGATGAAATAACAGTAAGGGCAGGAAGAAAAAGATAAACAATACACAACAAGAATAACAATACAAATAATATCAAACCATCAATATGATAAGAAAAATAACAAAAAATGGAGAAACAGACAATAACAAATACACAACAATGACAACAACTTCAACAATGAATATAAAAATGAAATAAACTATCACAATGAAAAATACAGAAATAAAGAATAAGAAAAAATAAAGATAAAGAAACATAATAATAAACAAACACTAAGAAATGAAAACACAATAAAACATAGAAATAGAATAATAAATGAAGTGATTGATTTTAAATTAATTGATTAAATATAATAGAAGTCATATGAACTAAAGAAATGAGAACAAAGAAGGAAGAAATAGAATAAAAAAAATATGATAAAATAAAAGAAGATTAGAATAATCTTAGTGTAATTTCAAGAAATAAAACAATAATTGCAAAAAGTGTTAAATTGATTACAGAATTAAAAAATTAAAATTGGTATACCAAAGAAGTCAAAAAAGTTACAATAAAGAAAGACTGATATCAAGGAACATTGTTTCATACCAACCAAACATATGTCATAGAATTAATTAACAAGGGGATGTGACCAGTAGACACAGAGCAATAAGCAATAGAGAATAACTCTATTAACACTTAGTTAAATATTATATTTAATTTATTTTTTTAAAACAGGAATTTTTCTATAAAAGGTGTAAGAACTTAAAATTAGTAATGACTTGGTGTAACTTTGGAAGAGATAAAAATATTGAAGAGAAAAAGAAAGAGCTTAAACAAATTGAAAAGTTTTGGATAAAACAACAATTATTTATAAAAAGACTTTCTACAATAATGACAACAATCCATGATGAACTCAATGATCATTCTGAAGAGTTATCTAAAATGATTGATTCAAAAGATTATCATCACATGGGTTTGTTTTCTTTAATAAAATGAAAAGAAAAGTCAAAACCGAAAATTTATAAATAGAGGCCAAAATGATAGGACAGTTTATTGGTGCACTAAACTTTATTTCAAATGACTTCGAGTTAAGTGTAGAAAATATGAATAGTTCATTCAAAAAAACAAATGAAATTTTCCAAAAGATTACTCAGCTTTTTAATAAATTTGAAACTGAACCAGCACAAAATGATGAAACTACATTCTCACTGTATCAAGGGTTTATTAATAGATTAGAATTTTTAACTCCTAATTATTATCTTAACTTATTTAAGTCATTTGAAATTCTCTATTCTATTGGGAATTCATATTTTGTAGAGACATTGTTTGTAGATGAAATTGAAAAACAACTTCAAGAAGTTTGTTAATATTTTAGTTTAAATTTAATAATTTAGTTCAACAAAAAAATTCTTATTAAATAGAAAAATATTTTAATAAATAAACAAGAAGATGTTGTTCTATATACAGGAAGAACAATTAAAGAAATACTAAACGACGAAAAAAGAGAACAAAATCAGTTACCAAGAGTAATTGAAAAAATGATTCATTGTATGTATGAAAAAGGGTGTTATTGTAAAGGGATATTTCGTGAAAGTCAAAATGCGTCAATAAGAAAAGTTGAAGAATTATATATGAGAATGAGCGTAACAAATTTTGAAGATATTCCAGTAGATGTTATTGCAAATGTCTTAAAGAAATTTCTTAGAAATTTACCAATTCATATTATTGATAATGAAATAACTCAACAAATATTTTGTGAATGGAGTAAAATAAATAAAAATGAAAGTATTCCTGATTTCAAAGTAATTCAAACAATTCAAAATATTTTATCAATTCTTCCTATTGAACATCAAACTATATTTAAAGAATTAATGAAGTTGTCATATAAAATTATTTCATTTTCTGATTTAAACTCAATGAATTCAAAGAATCTTTCAGTTTGTCTTTCAACTAATTTAATGACATTAAATGAACCAGAACAAATATCAAATACTTATGACTATACAAATGAATATACAATTTGTATTGATTTTATTTCATTTTGTATTTCAAATTATCCATTAATATTTCCAAATGATATTGATGAAAAATTAAATAAAAGAAGAACTTATTTACTCTCTTCTGAGCAACAATCAAAATTATTTTCTGAACAAAATACAAGAGTTCAAAGAAAGAAAACAAGTAAATTAACTGATAAATTATTTAAACCAAATGTTATAGATGGACCCAAAAAAATTGATGTATTTGATAGAATAACTAAAAAACAACAAATTGATCAACAACAAAATCAATTAAATTCACAAAAATTACTTCCTGATAAAGGTTTTTATTTAAAAGATGACCAACCCAATATTGATCTCTCTCAAAATGTTCATCAAAACTTTAACACTACTTCACCTAAAGGTATTACAACTACTAGATCTTCTCAATATAATTCTTTAAATTCAAACAGTGCTCAACTATCAATACAATCAAGAAGTACTTTTGATTTTGGAGAACTTCAAAACAAACAAAAGTTATCAAAAACTACTCCAATCATTGCATTAGTCAATCTCCCTGATATTCAAGAAGCACAAACTGACTCATCTCAAATTAAATCTCAAGATTATAATACTACTAACAATGAGCCTATTGACCTTTCTTTCAAAAACCCAGAATTATCTTTTAATAGTATTGATAAAATGATTTTTGAAGATAAGCCTGATGGAACCAAAAATAATAATCAAAACGAATTCATTGAAATTACTAAAAAAGCTTTAGATGATGAAAAAAAATTACACCAAGAAGAAATGAAAAAAATTGAAAAAGAAAGAAGGTTAGAAGAATTACCTCCTATAAATACTACAACCAAACATGAACAATACGAGCCATTAAAATTTACTTACAACGAAGCCATAGGGACATACACAAAATCAAATCCAATTTTTAAAGATTGAAGAGGCAAAATATAATTATATAACACACTATTTATTTATTATACTTTTTAATTTATTTTATTTTTTTGAGTGTATTAAAAATTTCATTCTATTTCAGTTTTTTAAAGTTTTTGTTCTTTGTGCCTATTTTTATTTATGTTTTTTCTAGTATTATTTTTTCCTTTTTTTTTGTGTTTTTTGGAAATTATTTGTTGTTATGTATCTCTTATTTTTATTTACACTCTTTTTTTATTATATTATACAATAATTATCTTTAAGATAATTTTTTATTGATTTTCTTTCCTTCATATTATGTAACTATTTAAGTGATAAGTATTTAATATAATTATGATGTATTACCTATAAATTTATTCGTCTTTTTATTCCTTTGTTTTTGTGTTGAACAAAAAATGAAAGATAGTTTTAATATCACCAAAAATATGTTAAATTGATACAACCACATATTGTAAATAAAGAAA